TTAAAATGCTTTCATTTATTAGGATATCTGCTAATTAAATGTAGACCATTGGCAAGGGGAGGACAGGCTGTCACCATTGTTTGGCAATACTCCATCTGGCTGCTGCCATTATAAATAGTGTTTTCTTTGGGCCTTACCAAGCCTATGGGGTAAATATTTTGCAGCGCGTATCCACATGGCTTCGTTTTAAGGTAATTATATTACCTTCGTTTTAAGGTAATATAAAATGATTGTTAACTTCCAGATATGAATGACTGCAAATAAGGAAGTTCATAAATAGGAAAAGTACAAAACAGCCTTAAAAATATTTTGCCACAATTTTCCAGTTTGTTTCTTTTCATAAAATGAGTTCTTTCTGGCATAAAAATTTAGCTCCTATTTACAGCTGAGCTACACAACAGCGCATGTTTGCATGTGTTTGGTGCACACACAGCAGCTTATTCATTCAAATGGGCTGCCATTCATGCCACAATCTTGCCACAGAAGTAGGTTCACCTTTATTTAAAAATTGCATTACATCAAAAGTCCTAACTTCCATAGCCCAATATCACCACTCCTTCACAGCAGCACCAGAGAGAATGGCGGATGCACACTGGCCAAGACCGTCTTACCCCAACATCAGCAGTTACAGAAAAAAATCTGGTTGCACACTGCAAGCTTTGCTGACGAGTTTATTGTAGCACACAGGTACACATCATCTTGTCATGGATCCATCTTCACTCTGACATATTTTACCCAATAATGGGCTTAGTCATAGGCATCAAAAGTCTTGTTGTTACTTTGTACCAAGCATTTTGGCATGCATGTGAGGAACACACGCTTGGAGTGCTATTAAAATGAATGATAGCGAAATGCAACTCCACTAAAGCCACATTTTTGTTGGTGCTATTTAGCAACACATACAAAATCGAGCTATTTTGTGTGTGTTGTCATGACGCTCAGGCGTGAATGGGGGCTTTAAGTAATTCAATTACAGATGAGTTATATTAATTTCTTTAGTATCCAACAAAACTGCTTTCAAAGGACATTAGTGTTTCTGCCTCTTCCATTGCTTGGTCTGGAAAGGAGCTAATGTAATGGGATTGCATGTGATGCTCAACAGGCGCAAACATAAATAAAAAGCACCTTGTATTGTTTGTGTAGGTCACTGGGCTAGAGTTAATAATAAGAGGTGTATACGAGTGGAGAAACTCCCTATGAAGATAGGCGCACTTATGGGTCCCTTATGGGTTTGTATGAGGGCATGAACCTTTGTACATCCAACAAATACTCTGTTGGATTTGTTTTTGTGGCTTAGATGCAGATATTTTACCAAAAAGGAAAAAAAAAACACAAAAACTATAATGTGATAATCACCAAGAATGCTCAGTAAAGTGTAAAAGTGCTGTAAACACAAATAAGGCAGCTTAAGAACTGGTATTTATCAATCCAAAATGCATTTGCAAGTAGCTGCAGATTAAATTGTGTATCTGTGCGTACCATGACCCATGCATGGATATATGCACTTGCACAATGTAATACCTATAACAAAGCATCCACTGTGGGTTTTTTTTTTAACTTTTATTGGTTTTTGACAGTCACCTTTATTAGTGCACATATCATTCAGTATTGGTCCTACAGAAACATGCATACCCACTAACCCAAAAATATTCTATTTAGATTCTTGGTATGCCACCAGTAATTTGGCCAACATTCAGATTATGGAGTTTGTGTTGCTTAGCAAACCCCATTTCTTATATAATTAGTCATATACATACTTTACAAAGATGCTGACACTTCTCTAGCACCTCATTTGTTATACATATAAATTCTTTTTGAAACTTATCACAGACTATTTTCAAAACTCCCCTCCATTTGTGTTAGTTTAACCCAAAATTGGCTCTATATGTGTGCTATGTTTGTAATGAAGCATATGCTCTCTTCAGTTCTATTAAAACGTTCATGCTGTAACAGGTGCCCTATATAAGGGGAAGGTTACCTCTGCACATTCACCACAGATTCACCAGATGCTTTGTAATCGAATGCAAATGCAATGACTGCCTGTGCAGAGGCTTTGACCTTGATGCAGTAAACTTCTTCTTTTTATGTAAAATGTACCAAAATATATGTAGTGACATTTTAGCACATCTGTCGTTTGCCTCTGTAAGTCTGAAGTTGCTTTTATTACACTTGTCAGCTAATGGTTCTTTTACCAAACATTTAAAATACTTGCATACAGTACTGCATTGTGCATACTGTGTAAGGTATGTCCATGATGCAATGCTATACATTTTAGCCCTGTCTACCTTGTTGTCCTTGATATTCAAAATGTAAAATAAAGAAATTTTTAAACAATCTGATTGACCATTGCTTATTATTAGCATTGCATTACATAAGGATAACAGCCAGAAAAATGGATGATGTGTCTGCATACTTTATGAGAAAGGTCCTGTATACATTATTTTTGCTTATGAGGAACAGTGTTATCAGATAAGCAGGCAATGGACATTAAGTGAATAATGCTTTTTTGCAAATGGCCCAACCATCCAAACAATCATATTTGTTTTCTGCTGAGCTGGCATAAACACCTGTAATCTACTGGCTTCCACTGGCTTCCACTCGCCCAGAGGATAAAATTCAAAATATTAACAGTCACCTATAAAGCCATCCACAACTCTGCCCCCGGATATATCTCAGACCTTGTCTCAAAGTATCACCCTAAACGTCCCCTCCGCTCATCCATTGACCTCCTGCTTTCCAGCTCCCTTGTCCACTCCTCCCATTCTCGCCTCCAGGACTTCTCTAGAGTATCTCCCATCCTCTGGAACTCCTTACCCCAACCTGTCCGTCTATCTCCCACCTTGACTGCCTTTAGGCGTTCCCTAAAGACTCATCTCTTCAGGAAAGACTATCCCACCTCAACCTAACCACTGAACCTTCACATTCTCACATAATTCATTCCCACAGCTACCACAGCTACCTCATGTATCATTTCCCCCTCCTCTTTTAGATTGTAAGCCCTCAGGGGCAGGGCTCTCCTTACCAGCTTGTCTTGAATTGTATTGTAACTGTAATGTCTTCCTTATATTGTAAAGCGCTGCGCAAACTGTTGGCGCTATATAAATACTATGTAATAATAATAATAATAATACTGGCATGTATGGGTAAGTGAAGTGCAGATACTCCTAGTATCACATGTATCTTGGAGGAACACAGAGCTATGAGAAAACACTTAACCCAACCTAGCTTTATCTCACTGACATCAGACCACCAAATATGACTGTAAGGGTTTGCTGTACCCAAAAACACCACAATGGTGGGTCCTTTTCTTCCAACATCTTGTGTCTGCAGTGGCGTCACAAGGAGGGGGGGTGCAGTCTGCACCTGGGTGAAACCATTGGAGGGGTGACACCAAAATGACTTATAGTCATTTTGGTGTAACCCCTTCTGAAAAGTCAGGCACTCGGTCATGGACTGAGAGATTGACAGTTGCGCAGTAGAGAGGAGGGGACCCAGGCGGCATACCTTATCCTACCATGGGAACGTCCCCTCCTATCTCACCATCATCAAGATGGTGGTATATGCGCGATGAAGTCATCGTGCGTGGTGACGTCACAGCGGGGTGTCACCTGGTATCCGCTCCGGGTGACACACGGCCTCGGGTCACCCCTGCGTGTCTGTGAGCTCATACATCCACAATTCATGTAAAGAATTCTATAACTAAACATATCTTATATACATATATAGGATATGTTTAGTTATAGACCCCTTTACGCGAATTGTGTGTGTATAAGCTCCCAGACACGAGATGTGAGAAGAAAAGGACCCACCATGGTAGGGTTTTGGTTATATCATGGTTAAACACACTCATTTCTGGTGGCTCATAAATAAAACTATGTTATATTTGGTCAATGATTTATAGACAATAATGTTACCAGAACATACACCAGCTGGCTCCTAACTTGTGGTTCTGTGCTGTTTGTTGTACCCCATAGACATCTTGGTTATGACCTGGGTCCTTCCATTTCAGGTTTTTACCACACCCATCCAGGGTTTATGGGATATATGTTAATAGATATGTCAATACAAATACTAAAAAAATATTCAGTATATTGTTTTATGAATTGATATTGCTATTAAACTAAGTAAAATATATGCTAATTTCATCAATGGCAGTAGTTTGGTCCCACAACTTAGGCCGGGTATACATGGTTACATTTTTTTCGTTCCACCTGCGGTCTGAACAAAAAAAAATAGAACAGATTCCTCCATTAACACGTATGATCATTGATGGAGGAATCCCCTTCTGTTTCCTTTGTATTCTGATAGCGGCTGCTGGCTGTCTGCTGATTTGCTGCTAGTTCTGTTCAGCCGACAATTTTCTAAACTGCTCCTCTGATATGCTGAACGAGGGATGCCGGTTGCACACTGTGCTCATATTAGCTGGATCATGAAGAACCGGAAGAAATTCACATCTTGTATACCCTACTTTATGATCCTACTACACAGAAATCTGTTCATATAAAAAAAGTTTTAAAAAATGTCAACGTAGATAAAAATTGAGGATGAAGTGGCTTAAACCAAGTTAGGTTAAAACAGATAACTTTATAGAACAAAATGGTTCAGGTATAGCACAGACTCTTTTAAAATGATTTTATACAATTCCTAACTGTTATACTAAATACTCTAAAGAAATAGAGTTACTACACATTTTATTTAATAAACCTAGATATAGCGAAACTCTATACACGTTATTTAATTAAATGCATTCAAAGATGTCATATTCATAACTCTGTTGCTTAATCTTTATCATGCAACCACAAGCCTTCAACAAGCAAATACACGTTTCTAGTTTTGGTTAAGTTTCGCCTGAAGTCTGAGTTTCTTTAAGGATTTTCTTTTCTCTACCTGTTTGGGGGAGGTGTTTGCTTTGCTATGGTTCATTCATATGTCTGCTCTGGCTTGTGTAGGGTTAAGTGCTGCACCTGCTGAGGTGTGCCTGTCTAAAGGCACCTGTTTCATCGGCCAATCAGCTCCGGAGTTCTACAAGAGCCCACCTGTCACAAAAGATACCTGGACACAAATCCTCACACACAAATCTAAAACATCATTCTCCAAGGGATGCCTGTGCTTAACAAGAATTAGAGGAACAACAGAATTTGGAGAAGAGCCATTTACAGAACTTTGAGGAAAAATGTCTAATGAACTAGAGTAAGTACTCACCAATACATGCACAGGTTGTGCTTTATTACATTGGCATGCTACAGTCTAACTTGCTGAAGCTGTACTGTTACTATGTAGTAGTTGTTTGTCATTTTTTGTAATGTGTGTGTGTGTGTATTTGTGTCTAGTTATCTATCTATCTATCTATCTATCTATCTATCTATCTATCTATCTATCTATCTATCTGTCTATCTATCCATTATCTGTTTATATTTTTAAGTGTGTGTGTGTGTACATGTTTATTTGTCTCTGTGTATGTATGTATGTTTGTTGGTATGTAAGTATGTATGTATGCATGTAGTATTTATCTGTTTTTATTTTAAGTGTGTGTTTATTTGTGTATATCTGTGTCTACGTAGCTATCTGTATTTTATCTATCTATCTGTTATCAGTTTGTATTTTTAAGTGTGTGTATTTATTTGTGTACATTTGTCTCTATGTATGTATGTATGTAGTCTATGTATGTTTATATTTTCAGTGTGTGTTTATTTGTGTATCTATCTATCTATCTATCTATCTATCTATCTATATATGAATCTATCTGATTCCAGGGTCCTCTGTCTAACAGTAAACTGAGCCATTAACTCACTGAAGTAGAGGCATATTTTATGACAACGTATTCTTCATTAGTTAATACCAGAATGTTCTAATGTCTACATAAGTTTTAATTCCCTCTTTAGAATGTACAACGTGAGCTAAAGATTTTGAAGTCTTAATGCTCTAAACTTATTTTTGCAACCCAACATTTGTAAATACAGTAGACCTGTATACAACACATAAAATACACATTATCAGCTTTATATTTTTATCCTTAATTTTTATTTTTGGAAATATAGTAGACATTAATACAAAATGTAAGGTACATAGATATCCTTATTTTTTATCATTCATTTTTACATTTTAAAATGTTACAGATTCAATCTAGTCTTAGGGGAAACCCTAACATGGAAAATCTATAGAAACAAAATTAAAATTGTCTATATATCCACAGTTATTTTGATATATATTAGTTCCTTAAAAGCAATTTTTTATGTCTTCTGTAGCTTGAACTTGGTCTGAGGTTAATTTTTTTTTCAGAACCTCATACATTTTAATTCTAAAATCTAATACAACTGTTTGTGTCTTACTCTGAAATGTTTAGCTTGTGTTACCTATGGCAGTTCTAGGAAAGCCTAAAAGTGTATTGGTTGTATTTAGAATTAATAGAAGGTGCCTGTCTAAAGCATAAGAGACTTATAGAAGTGATGTGCATGTCAGATAGCTCTTATTGCTCAATAAATGACTTTGGTTTCAAAGAATTTTTATGTGGAGCTGCATGTACTAAACTGGAAATTTATTTGAATTCCAGCAATAAAACAAATCCCTATAAAATAAAGACTGCATAATCCATCTAATTGGAGTCTCTTAAAAACATGCATGCAACTATTAAACTGTTTGGTGTGGTACTTTTAGAAAGGTATTAAATCATATCTTTTTGAAGACTTTTGCAAGTTCAATGAAAAGCCATTTTTAAGACAAAAGAGTGGAATGTAGACACAGTTTAATTTGCTTGAGACAGCTTGGCACCAAGAATACAAAAGTTGGGTGTCTTTGATTTTTGAGTTTCGCTCTTGCTGTACAGCAGTTTCACTCAAAACATCTTATAGAATATGCTGTATGCTCATTAGCATTGGAGTTGCAGTCATTTGCATAAAAAAGTTAACTGGAAGAAAGCTGTCTTGTGGTCGTATGCTAATTATTCTAAGTGCTTCACATGTCTGGAGCCACTCTGGAAGGTCTTTTAATACTCAGTGCATATAATTATCCTTTTGTTATCCCTATCAGTGGTGATATAATGTGCCTCACAACCCATAACAGAAGATTGTAGTTCTACTCATTTCTAGTCATTTCAGTGGCACTGCACAAGGGTTTTTGGAGTACAACAGGCTTCTAATTGGTTTTGTTATTAAATATAGGATTACTGAGCCACACAGGGAAACAGTGTGATGCCCCAGCCACGGTTTAACTGGAAATTTGGCTGTGCTTCAGAAACATATTGGGGTTAAATTACTAAAGTAGCTGAGAATCATAAATCAGCCAATCATGTTCTAGCAAAAATCTCATGGGATTTTTTTTCCTTGCACATGATTGGGTATTCAGAGTGAACATTCTCTCCTCCTCTAGTAAAATTAAATAACTGCATTGTGAAATGGCAACAACAATATATATTGGTGCTAGTAGATTATAACTTTAAGCCACAATACCATTTTGTAACTGCAGAGATACAACCTAATGGAGGACAGTGGAGAAAGTCAGGCACCTCTCCATTTTCCAAGTGAAGGGGTCAAAATCAAAGGTGGAGCTGTAAAGTACCCCTATAAATCAGAAAATCGCTGGGTCTAAATTCAGCATGTTTGGCCTTTTTTGTGTAATTTCATATTTTTTGCTACTCTTCATACTTTGGTTACAAACCTACTGAAAAGGCAAACCTTGCCTTAATAAAAACAATGCAATTGGGCATACAAATGCAGACACAGATCTTCAGAAACCATTTTGACTTTTAAAAAGTAAAAAAAATTAAGTTTCTATAGTAAAATAGATAAATTGTATTTTTTTGTACTGTACATCACCCCAAAATGTTGTTTTAGGATCTATGATATCCAGCAGACATCATAAGGAACTGCATGCCAAGTACTGCTGCTTACATTTTCTTGGCATATTATTGCTACTTTCCAGTTAAACTCTAATGTTTGCAAATCTATCTTCTTCAAAAATCTATAAACAATACCTCTGACCTGGACTCCATTTTCCATACAGAAACTTATTAGGCACATCAATGGAAAAATACATTGCAGTTGTTCCCGTTTACTGTAAAATAACATTAGCCAAAATATATTTAATTGTCTTCCTTTTTGATCTGTTGAAATCCACTTCACATTAAAATATAGGGGCACCTATTGCTTTGACTGCTTAGTGATATAAGTGTGTTTTGTAGTGAATCTGTACTAAGACGAAGAAGGGAATCTAGGCCACAAATATTGTAAGAATGCAGGCACAGACATAGATGGAACTACCATTTCGTGAGAACGGTCATGCAGGCTCCAAAATGGAATCCAAGTGAAACATACTTATATTACTGAACTTTCTATGAAATCCAGGTAATTTCTCAATTGACTTGGAGACCCACTTCTCTTACAGCTAAGAAGTGTAAGGGAAAAGTAATGATGTAAGTATTTAACCCTAGACATACTAGAGTGCAGGGTGGCCAACTCTATAGAGTGCAAGGAACGTACAAAATAACACATGCTTGGGTGATAGAAAACAGCAAAGGTTCGTCTCATCCACTAAGTTAAGGGAAATGTATCTTTCAAAGTAAACGTACCATTGTCAAATGAACGGCTTATTTGTCTTTAATAAATCAAGCCCTTAGTCTATTTTCTTATTTACCTGCTGATCAGAGCTTTTTTTACCTGCTGATCAGAGCTGTGTATGCATGGACATATGCAGTATGTAATACTGCATTCCATATGAAGTGCTGATTAATGTTGTCAAATACATCAGATTGTAAAGTAGATGTGTTCTTGCTGCATGCATAACTTGTAAGGCAGCACAATCTGTGTGTATGTATATATATACATAAATATATATATATATATCTTCTTTCAATAAAATACATTATTAATTCTAAAGTATGGTTTAACCTCGCACATATATAAATCTGTTTTCACAAACGCACCAGGAAATGCTTGTAGAGTATGTCATACAAAAATAATCTGCACACTGGCATAAGATCAAAGTTTTATATGCCAAGAATAGAGTGGCTCATCAACTAAGACAAAAGGCAATACACCCAATTCAACAGTGCATACAACTATAATTTCTGCTTACCCACCTACACACCGTGCTACAGGTAACACACCCTCTTCATGCCTTTAGCTATTCCATCAAACATTCTATGACCTCATTACCTACCTTTTGTTGACACCAGTAAGTTTATTAACTCTTGAACTTAATTTTTTATATTTAATTGCTTGTTTTCTGATATTGTCATGTGCCTATTTCACATACATAAGGAAAAAATGTAAATCAATTAATTTATTACATTTCTTTTTGATATTATATAATTTGCATCTTTTCTAAATGTCTCCTGACATGGCTGCACTTGTGTATCTATTCCATTATTGGACAAACAGAAGCACATTTTCAATATTTAACACATATTAATAATATTAATATTATTAAGCTGATCACATTCAGATACATGAAAAAGACCATTGCTTCCCTTTTAAACATCGGTATGTTTACAGAGTACATATTTATACATTTCCCTGTGCTGGAGGGACTGAAAAAGAGTTTTCCTGGAGAACAAAAGCAACTAGTTAGGAGCGGCCAAAAGTAAAGAAATGACAGCTCAGTACGATCTATACAGAGCAAATGAAAAGAAATGATTGAAGATAGAAGCCTGGGTATTAAAATAACACAGGCAGGTGCCTTTCCAGTTGGTTGAACCTGTAACCTCCCTGAGCAATGCTGGCAGCCGTGAGCAACATGTGTTTGCTTTGCTATGAAAGCATGGCTTGTGGTCTAATAGGAGGAGAATTAGTAACTAAACAGTCTGTCACCCACATCAGCAATTGTCTGACTTGAAGGTGTGTGTGGTAACCGCACTCCTTTCCTAGGTATCATGTTCAACTGAGGCACGAAGGGATGATAGCCACAGACCCACTATTTCCATATATATTGCATGGAGTGGACCCTTACATTACTTCAATAGCAAAAATCTGCCTTATAAAGCACTTGAGGAAAGTGTCTCTGTTGTCTTTAGAAACTAATCAGAACCTAGAAAAAATAAAATCAGATTGACTGCTGAAGGTAACCTACCACTGTTTTCTACCTCATGTGAGGTCCAGGCAAAATGTCGGTTGCAACTTAGTTATATGCTTAACAACCCTACCATGTTTAAAACTGGTATACATTGATGTAGACAATATAATGTTTCCTGTATCATTGTCCATGTGTCTTAAAATTTGTTGCTGGTATACACAAATATTGTTACATATGATTCTGACCAGGCAACTTTTCAACAATTCTAGCTGAATGCATTGAATTATAGGCATGCATGATACAGCTTTTTTTTTATCTTGGGCTTCTGAGCTATAACTATATCTATAATATACTAAGGCTAAGGCTAAGACTAAGTTATAATATAGTTATAAATAACTATTCTTCCTTTTCAGTTACAGGCCAGTCATGCTTCTCCAGAATGACAATTTCCAGAAGTATTCTTACTCCACTGATGAAGAGGCATGGTCCAAATATGTGGATAACCCTATGACAGCAGCTACCAAAGCTATGATGAGAGCAAATGGGGACGACGATGGTGTTGCTGCATTGAGCTTTCTCTATGATTACTACAGGGCAAGTAAATTCATTGTTACCCATATTTGACAACAGTGACAGTAAGTCTGAGGCAGACTAAAGGATATCCATGATTGAGAAAACATACAGTAGCATATGTGGCATTACTTTCTATTTATAAGTATTAGACATGTCTACTTTGCCTCCTGTCTAGTGATGTTCCTGACTCTTTTTGTTATCTTCTTACACTAAGACAAGATAATTCCTTAACAAAATGGACATTATTTTTGTACTATGGGGTTTTGCATCACTCTTCTGTGATGAGTTACAGTTGGCGCAACTTTGATCTTGCATGATTTTCTTACTTGATTTTAATGTTATCCTTTATCATCTTGCCTTAGGTCCCAAGAGAAAAAAGAATAATTCCACCAGGATCAACAGATCGTTGTGAACAAGCGAAAAGGTAATTTTAGAAGTAAACATACGGGTCTATTCACTAAGCTGCTGAGGGCAGCCGAGTGAACAACCGACCCCAAGTGAAGTGAGCCGAACACTGTTCGGCTATTCACTTCAGGCTTGTATGGCTGATTTCAGCCGTATATCGGCTGAAATCAGCCGTACATCGGCTTGCTTCGCATGGCTTCGGGTCAATAGCCAATAGTAAACTAGCATTGTACCCGCCCTCTGCTGATGGACCTGATGGAGAACTGCAGCAGAGGGCGGGTACAATGCTAGTTTACTATTGGCTATTGCAAATTGAAATAGCTAATAGGAAGCATTCCAATGGGCAAAAACTTTTTTTTTTTTTTTTCTATTCTGACACAGCTCCGTGTCAGAATAAAGAAAAAAAAGAAACAACAGTGTTTCTCTCCTTGGCGACCGGGAGCGGGAGACTCCTGGAGCGCCAGGGAGAGTTTGCTGTTTGGAGATCACCAGGGACGCTGATCTCTCTGCAAGTGGCCGGAGCCAGCCATAAAATCACGATGCATATGCGTTCGGCTCGACTGAGTCGCTTGGCCACGTTCGGGAGCTGTACGGGCTATAGTGAATAGCCCGTACAGCACCCCTTCGGTTCTACTGAACCGAAGGGGTCCTGGGGCCGAAGCTACCCGAAGGATCGGCCGAAGCTACGGCTAGATCCTTCGGCAGCTTCGTGAATAGACCCCATAGTAGTAGAAATGTTCGAATGTATGTGTCCATATTTAATGTATTTTTGTAATCAATTACATTTTTTGCTTACTTTTAGACATTGCAGTGAGTACGACTCGGACATTTCATCTTTCGAAAGCTCAACTCATCTAATGAAATTTCTAAATGATAACTCCTCCTCCTCCACACAAGACTATGCAGATTCACATAAAAAGAACAGCTACTTAACATTGGACTGTCTGATAAATCCCAATAAACTGAATTTGCCAGCAAATACCAACAAATTAACCACTGATACACATGAGGATTTTATGACCTCATCATGTGATGTGTATGAGAAGAATTCATTGAACAACCTCTTTGAACCATTACACGTAGCCCAACCACAACAACGTTGGCAACCAGACAGCACATTTAAAGAAGATAACCCAGAGGTAAACACTACAAACTACTGTCCACTAAATAGTGTGCAAGAGAAATCGTATTACAATTTTGGCTATGTTTATATCTATTTTCTTTTCTTTTTTTCCCCACAGCCTCTCATATTCAATGATATTCTTAGAGGCCAGGCAGAATCCACCTGCTCTGCAGAATACCTGCCTGCTGAAGCCAATCGGTAAGTCTTTTAAATACAACCAGTATTTAAACTGTAATATGGCCTTTATACAGTGTAGACAGACACAGAAATATTTAAAAGAACATATGGAACTATATTAAAGCCAAATATTGGTTGCCGCAAGTTTACTTGATGATAAAGTAACTGATTATATTTTGAGCGTAGCCTTAGTTTCTTTCAATATCTGGCAAATATTCTTTATTGTTTCATTTGTTTATCATTTTTGCAGCGACTTTGAATACACACTGGAATCCCCTAAAGCTATTCACGTTAAGTCTGGTGATTCTCCAATGGCATATCTCAACAAAGGTCAATTTTATCCAGTAAACCTTCGAACAGCAGACAGCAGGAAATGTTTGCAACTGTCTTCTAATAAAGTTAAGGTATGTTCAACAGCCAGAGGCCTTTAGAAAAGAAATCTGGATTTACAGATTAAATCATTTTGTAAGAAATCCTGAGTATGGTAAAGCACTCTGTAATTTGATGTAGCAGCACCATATCAGGGCTTGGAAAGTGTTCAAGGTATATTTCTACAATAAACTTAAGGAATCAGAGCTAGGTAGGAACACAGTGGACATTGATATATTGGGCCACACAATAAACAAACTCCGAGACAAAAAGACCTTACGAATTGGAACAAATGCATCTATTTCTGAAAGTCTAGTAAAATGACATGAGTCATTGAGAACACAAGGCTCTTTCTCCAACGCAAACAGAATGAGTCTATAAGTGGCGTTTACATATAGTGCTGTGTCTCCCCTGACAAACTGCCTTCTTTTCAGACGTTAAAAAAGACCCATTTAAATGTTGAACCCATTATAAAGAAAGACTGATGAACATCTATAGTTTTAATGTGTACTGAGCAGGTTATTCATATTTTCCTAGTGGGATCTTTGCTCACAACAAGCGTAGTCTCCCATAAAATGTCTTTTCACACTAACAAACCCATGGAAAAGGGAGAGTGCATTGCAAACGGCTTGTGTATTGGCAAGTTCAATAGGACATGGAAGTATTCAGAAAACAAAAAAATATACACTGGTTTTTGTCATACTAAAATGATACTGTATATTTAATATACTGGTAGAATTTAATGGTTGTTTATATATTCCCCTAACATCCCAGCTACTTCCAAAGGTATATACAATATATTGCAGAAACATGGAACATTGGACAAATCTTTGCATTTTAAACTGCACAGTAAAAAATATATACTTTAGGGGAAAAAAGTAAAAATGGAAGTAAAAGATGTTTGTATTAGGCTATTGCAAAATTCATAACACTTTTATTGATAATTTGTTTTTAATTTAATATGCTATATGTAGTTATATATTTTTTTTTTCATGCAGAGTGTTGTTATGGTGGTCTTTGATAATGAGAAGAATCCCGAAGAACAATTAAAACGCTGGAAACACTGGCATTCCAGACAGCCAACTGCAAAGCAAAGAGTTATTGATGTTGGTATGTCCATTCAGATTCAAGACTTGAAAGGCCCATGTATAATCATATAATACCTTGATAATTTAAGAAATAAGATTTATATCACTTTTACATTTCTTCTGAATGAGCAAGTAATGGATATCATTGTCTGTCTTGCAGCTGACTACAAAGAAAACTGCAACACTGTTGAGAGCATTGAAGAAGTTGCCTATAATGCTTTGTCATTTGTATGGAGCGTCAATGAGGAGGCCAAGGTAATAAGGTTATCTCTGCATGAATATTAACACAAGCTGCATTTTTCAATACTTACTCTGCATAAAGGTTTATTTAGTTATTTACAAGTACAAACATGCTGACCTCTCCTGAAAATGCTAGTTGTCTGGCTGTTATATTAAAACTTCAACAAATTGAGCTACTAACTAAGAATAAGTATGTAAATATGGATGTATGTCTGTCATCTTGTGCACATGGGTTCTAAACCACAAATCCTGAAGGTATTGCAGCCAGAGACAGCCAAGAAAGTCAAATGGCAGCTTCCATCATTTTCTAATTACTTTCCTTCTTTTGTTATCATATTCAACATACAGTATGTATGATTTTATCAATATGGAAAAAGTACTGTGAGTTTTTTTTCTCCCTTTTTTATGTGACAGTTGAAAAAGCAGGTGTGCAACAGGTACCTGATCAAATAATGTAGATAAAGAGACCTCACAAGTGATCATGAGTGTGTAGCACAAAGCTCTACTATCCTCAGAATGAAACTACCCCTTTTCCCAGCACAGCATACCTCTTGTCATGAAATGTACAGATCTGTTAATTCCGTAAGAACTTGGAATATACTCCAGTATTGTGTAATTTACTACAATAAAAGAGCGGCTTCACGAAAAGCTAGGCAGGTGCACGCAAAAAATAAACTTAGTTGCTTGGCAAAGAGAAAAATTTATGAAAACGGTTTTTGATACAATCTTGGTTCCCACGTAAAACAGAGATACTTTCTGGGTGGGTTTTGAGCCTGAGGGGAAAATAAGTTGTTAGGATCTCTAGGGATTATCTGCAAGGGAGGAAACAGTTGGAAACATTGGCAGGGAGACAGGTGAATTCAGTGACAATATATTAGTGTTTAAAGTTCAGCTCCACTTAGAAACAAGACTGGACAGGTGGTTGAGTCTTCCATCTGTAAGTTCATGTGATGAGTTTGTAGTGTTATAACAATTCGGAACCTTTTTATCCAAGGTCACAATCTAAATGTTGCAGTTTTATTAATAGAGAAAATATTGACTTAAATTGTAACATTATTACTTGCCTTAACATGTACTTCTCTGATTGGTTTCAGATCTTCATTAGTATTAACTGCCTGAGCACAGATTTCTCATCTCAGAAGGGAGTGAAGGGTGTGCCTCTAAATCTCCAGATTGACACTTATGACTATGACACTGGGGTGAAGAGACTCATTCATCGGGCTGTCTGCCAGATCAAAATATTCTGTGACAAGGTATGACTAGCTACAAATGAAGCATGTGACAGTCATTACATCCAGCATAATAAGTAAATAGGCAGACAGAAGATAACTTGCAGTTTAATTAACACAGCCTTATTAAAGTGCTGTATGGTTGGGACAAACAATAAGTATTCTATCGGAAAAAATATATTTTTGCCCACATCAACCAATCAGAATGATTCCTTTTCACATGTATGCTGTGGGAATGACACATGTTTGGTTGCTATGGGCAGCAAAAAATGTTTTTTCCTAGGGCTTACATCAGGCCCTTGATCTTTGCAAGCAATGGTAATTATATTTGTCTCTTGTTTACATAGGGTGCTGAGCGCAAGATGCGGGATGAAGAACGCAAGCAGTTTAGAAGGAAAGGAAAGGGGCCAGATGCCAGCAAAGGTAATTTGCTAAACCAACTTGTGCTTATGATGATGAGACAACTGCAAAATCCAATACACTACACTGGCATTTGATTTACTAAAAGAGAATGTTCACTTAGCAAAGTAAATAAAGTGAAGTTGTTTTTCATTTGAATAATTCATTATGTGAAGAGGGGTTAAAAAATAGCCTTTACATGATTGGATGATCAAAGTGACCATTTTGTAATCCTTTAGTAAAGCAAATGCACTTATATAATATTGAGCTAGGCACTAACAGGGGCAATGTATATCGATATGGTTATCAAAAGTAAGTGGCATACATCTGAAAAATAAGTGATGTAATTTATTGGATGTAAATGAGTCCTTGAGGGGGGTAGTTAAATATCCTAAAATGAAATGTCTTTGCATTAAAAGACCCTTGGTGGAAAGTGGTGGGGTGGGGAGGGGTGGGGGAGATATTTAGCACTGCATCAATTGGCATATTTGTGATTTGGGAGAGAGTTTGCGACGTCAAATTCTTACAACTGTCCACTGAATAAAATCTTTTAATCTGCTGAATCAATTTTCCCATAATAACACTTACTTAAAATGCCTTACCTGACAGATATAAAAGCATCTGTACTCCCAGGATACAGAGGAACAGACATCACATACCTGAAGCCGTTGATAGATATGGAAACTCAGCCAGTGTTGTTCATCCCTAACATTCACTTTTCCAATCTTCAAAGATGCGGCATGGTAAGCATCTTACTACAATATTACCTGATCTTTTATTCCATCGCATATTCTCCCCTATATTTTATAGTCTGATCTTTTATTCCATCGCATGTGCTCCTTTATATTGTATCAGAACAGGTAGGCCAAAATAGGTTTACATCAACAGCAAAAACTGTAGTTTAGGAAAAGGAAAAAAAAATATGAGAGAGAGAGAGAATAGTTGCAGGGATAACATTTGACATGCCGCATTTATGTTACTTTTAGAGGTGTTGGCTTTAAAATATCGTGTCAACTGTGTCACTCTAAAGTTCTTTTTTGCAAATCATGTTTTAAATGTTGAAAACGTGTGTTAAACCATCTGCTGAGTCAATAGCAGGCATAAGAATTTAACAAGATAAACACATCTTTCAGTGTAGGATTTAGCTAACAGCATTCTGGACAGGATACAATGGCTACCCTTTTAGACACAGACACCATGGAAGCACTAGAGAATGTTTTCTAAAGCTTGAGTTGTTTCAGTACTGCCTTAACTATGACCTAACACCTTTTCTTTGTCTTTTCTAGGTACTTCCTGCTGTTACAGATAATGACAGGTAGGAATATATTCCTTCTTTTTTAAAAGGAGTCAGAGATTCTGCAATATTCCTTTAATATTTAAATAACCATAGACAACTGTATCTATGGTCTGCCCAAAGTAGCAAATGAAATTTGAGTATTCACCATACTATCAAAACCAATGGGGACATATTATAACAAAATAGGCAATGGATACTGTTATTTTGTTATGTCCTTACTTTTACTACCTTGCCTTTCTACCTTATCATTTAAAAATCGGAGCTACAAAAAGATAAACAGAGAAACAAAATTTGCTACATTTGAGTAACTGGGATAGTGGATGTTGTTTGTATCTCTTTTTTCTAGTAAAACAATGAATGCAATCCAATTATATATGTAGACTTAAGCTCATATTTCCGTCTTTCCACAGGCTAGCACTAAAAAGAAGTTGTCCGTCCTTCACAGACACATTTGACGTGCCTCCATCTAAGCAACAGTCTACTGAAGACTCCAAAAGAGGTATATATTGATGCAATTATTATGCCTATGAAGAAATACTCCATGCCAAATTAATGTTCCAATATTATTTAAATAATTTGTTTAGCTCTAAAATACATTTAAATGTTTTTCTCTACTTCATTTGATTGAATGTCCACTGTGCTCTCACATTGATTAAGTTGAAGAAGCCTTCTTAAAATGTCTTTTGTATTCATATTTGCATGCATACCTGTTCAACACCATTCACAGAATGACAGTAAATTTGTCTAGAAATACCTTTCACCAATGGCCAGAAAGCATTTTTCAGGAGCACGCAGATGTGCATTTGAGTTGTAGAGCAAGACTAGCATGTGTATTGGCTTTGAGACTGGTATTTTAATATGGCTGTGAGCTCCTTCTGGTCTATATTTATCCATGTGTGTAAGAACAGTATAGTATCGTTAATACAAATAAGTCCTTCATAGGAAAGTAGATATGTATCTGCATATAGATCATATCCTAATTGAATTTATATTTTTAAGCTACATAGGAGTTTAGATGTGTCAGATATGTACAATCAAAATTGATGTCAGGAAAAATAACATTTATGTTATGTACTTTGTCCCAGGCTTCTTACACACATGATTGCTCATTATATTCATGTTAAATACATCAGAATAAGGCACTGCTGCACTTCCAGAGGTTGCCAAGGCCAGCCAGTTTGCTTTTGAGTATGGTGTATTGTGCCCTTTGGCTTTATATCTTACTATTCTGAAGTATAAACTGTTAGAGCAATCTATGTTAATTCTTGTTTATATGGTTTGCTGTTCTACCTTTTTTCATCTTCTACAACTTTTTTATGTTTGGTTTATTTTAGTATTATTATATGTGCGAAGACAAACAGAAGAAGTTTTTGATGCACTGATGCTGAAAACTCCAGATCTTGTTGGATTAAAGAAAGCTGTAAGTAAAATCATATAGATCCATATCAGCTAAAATTTATCCGATCAATCACCATTCCCTTCTTACAGTTTGTTCTTGTTTTTAAAGTCCACATTTCACCATACATGAATGAACAGATGATAGTATGCCATGATATCTAGTGACATCTGCTTCAGTGTTACCCATAAGCAGTGTAAACTGACGTAACCCAGCAGTGTCATATACAGTATAATGTCATTATCTTATATTTAAATAGTTTTATGTCACCTATTTTGAGAAATATTCCTTTTTTCTTCTGTGCTTTCAACCTGCATATTTTCTGATTTTCCAAGTGATAATTCACTGGGAGCATTATGCTAAAAACCTTTTCATAAAAACAAATTGCAACATACTAATAATCTCTAAAGCTGTCAGCATGCTATAATCCAGGAAACTAACATGTTTAAAACATTCTACAGATCTCGGAAAAATATGGTTTATTAGAAGAAAGCATATCCAGAGTCTACAAAAAATGCAAGAGAGGGTAAGTTTGCTAAATGTTTCTATGTCCAATTGCTTTTTTTATCATACCAGTTTTAACATTTTATTTAAAAAAAAGTATTTTAGTATGAATACAAAAAAAACAAAATGAAAAGTCTCAATGGTATTTTGTGCTTTTGATGTGGAAGGAGCCAGTTTAGACATTTTTACTCGTATATTTTTTTGCACAATGCATTTTCCTCATATGATTTACTATTTTCAATTCAAGGAAGATAAAATACCCAGCAAAACTATGTATAATGATTTTTACCTGTTTCTTTTTTTCACCCAAAATGTTGCATCCAATGTGATTTAAGGTTTCACTTGAAATTCTAAATAGGATCCAAAGATATTAGCAAAACATGCATTTCCACCTAGATTTAAATTAAGGCAATAGAGGAAAGTAAAGTCTATATAACAATGCAATAATTTTCTTTTTGGGGTCCTATTTCCTACTTCTACCTTGCCAATCCTTGACAATCTTTGAGATCTTAATGGTTTATCCAGTAATGTTAAAATTTCATTTCCTGACAATGTAAGCACAAGCGTCACCAGAGTAGTCTTTTATTTAGCCTAACACACCAAAGAAACAGGCCTGAAATAATAGGAACAATTTATAGAAAATACAGTATTGCTATGACTTTGTTTTTGGCAGATGGATCATTTCTGTTTCGAAAATCAAAGGTTATATTTGTGTCAAGCCAATGCTTAAGAATGTTTAACTCATATAAAGGGAGTATCATGCGTAAAAGTAAACTAACACAGGGAAACACTCAGATTCTGGAATATATTAACCTCGAAACTTGTAAATACTTACTAGCAAAGACCAATTGTGTATTTTCAACTGCGCTGTTTCAATGTTTCCTAGCTAAAAATAAATGCTGCATGTTCTGAGCTTATAATATAATCCTTGCATGGAAATACTGTCATTTTAGTACTCGAGAATACAATAACTCAGTAACTCAAAGGTTAACTGAATAAAACAGCAATTCCGGCAGATAAACCACTGAAATATGAAAATCTCCTAAAGACAGATAAAATCAGTTTTGAACCCCTGCTGACTTTGTAAGAACTGTTGCGGCAATGTTGTTTCTGGCTGCTAGCCAGAGATCTCCCTCCTTATAAGATGAAACCAAAGAATAAAACTAGTAGTTAAAAAGCTTATTGTGTAACACTATGACCCAAGAAAAGTCATGCATCCTAAACAAATATTTAGCACATGAAACTCACATTTCCTTAATTTACAAATTAAATAGAACATCTAAGCACAAAAATTAGATTAAAATTAAATATTTTAGGTGGGGTGTCCTAAAAGAAATGAATAAATAAGGTATCATCTTAAACTTATAATCTATCTGATGCCTCTGACACAAGGAAATTTACTAAAGGAGTAGTAAATGTTTGCATAGCTCAGTAAAGGTAAAGCATTAATTACTTTTTGAATAACCATTCATGTGCAAAAAAAAGAGTTAAGGCAACAGGATTTTGCCTTGCACGTGACTGGGTGATTTATGTAGTCATAGCTTCAACTTATTCATTAAGCTAAATCAGGGGTCTCAAACTCAAATGACCTGGGGGCCACTGGGCATGTTTTCTTCTTCCATGGGGGCCACATGAGGAGAGACAGCCAGGAGAGAGAGAGGAGAAACAGCCAGGAGAGAATTAGGAGAGAAAGCCAAGAGAGCGAGGAGAGATAGCCAAGAGAGAGCGAGGAGAGATAGCAAGGAGAGACAGCCAGGAGGATGAGCGAGGAGAGACAGCCAAGAGAGAGAGAGTGAGGAGAGACAGCCAGGGGACAGCGCGAAGAGAGACAGCCAGGAGAGACAATGACAGCCAGTAGAGACAGGGCTGGCTCTACTGAACTATTGGCAGCCCTGCCTGTGGGCCAAAAGTAACCGGTCTGCGGGCCAGTACTTTGAGACCCCTGAGCTAAGTAAACAAATACTTTGCAAATTAAAGTTGTCTACTGATCATTCCAGAGTGTATAAATGCACATTTTAATATTTTATGGTACATGTGGTGCAAAATTCTTTAGTTGGATCTAATTATGTTGTAATGATAGGTCTAGATGTAACTTAAAATAGGATGCCAAGGAAGACTAACTTATTTAAACTCTGAAAAACATTTTGTTAATTTGCTTTCGTCTTCCTTTAGGATTCTGGTCAATATGGACAACAATATTATTCAACATTACAGCAACCACATGGCTTTCCTTCTGGACCTCACAGATCTAGATGGCATTATACAAGTTACACTAAAAGAATTATAACATTCCTTCTGGATGAACACAAAAGACTCATTAGACTAAGGGATGAGACCCTTAGTATGACAGACCTCAGAACACTGCTCAATGCTTGCACTTGTCCCAGGTCAGCAGAGCATCATATCATCAAGTATTGTGAAGACTATGCTTCTTGGAAAAACTGATATAGAACTTCTGCGTCACAGGAGAACAGCACATCAGAGACTCTTTACAATGTGGATTTATTTTTATGGTATCCATAACTGGAGAATTTAAAGCTTGTGAGGATGAGTGGCTTGAATATTGCCTGTATGCACAGTCACCAAGGATGTTATGGACATAGAGCTGATATTGCATGGATGACCTTGCTCTTAGATATCTGCCAAGGGCAAATGGCATGATGGCAGGATGCAGAGGCAAATAATACATGTTCTATAATATGCAGGTATAAAGTGCAATATGGTGCTTCAGACAAAATGTTACAAAGACCAGTGGTATGTCTTAACCATAGCAAACAATCAGAAATCTGCTTGTATTAGTCTGATTGCACTACCCTGCTGAAAATATTGATTGTTGTTTTAGGTTACTACACATCATTGCTCTTTGCAGTATTACATAAAACCCAAAAATTGGGATTAAACAATTCAACCTAGGCATGATTAGAGAACAACGAAATCCAATTAAGATTGCCAATCCTTGGTGAAAGTGGGTACACAGACACACCTTATTAGTTTCTTGTGTCCACACATCTATCAAGGCTTCTCACAAAAGTTTTACATTTGTGCCTAGCTGCTGAATATTCTCATTACCTTTTTAAACTAACACTTTTTTTATCAAAAACGGCTGCCAATTTTGAACCCTCCCTCCAATTTTTAAAGAAAAAATGTTACCCACACAAACATTTCCTATTGCTGGTTTATAGTTTTTGCTATTACTAAATATATAAATGTATATATATATATATATATATATCGGTTGTTTTATGTTTTATGTATTTTAATGTGCAGAAATGCATTTTGCCATTTCAACAACGTCTTATCACATTTCTCTTTGTCTTTGTACAATTTTTGTTCCATTTTTTTATATTACATAAATCTAGACAGAAGGCTAATAAAAAATGCCTGGAAAGCTTTAAAAGAGTGGTTTAAATACAATATGTTGCTTATGTAGATTGTTAAAATAGCAGAGCCTTGCTTGCTGCTTTTACGAACTATACAAAGTAGTTGTGAATCTTCCACCGGGTTTAAATATGAATTACAAAATTTTGCATACCCCCACACATGCACAATTAATATATCTTCCATGAAATATTCATCACATGGTAGACTTTAGTTTCTTCTAGCTCCCAAAGCTTATCTTTACCTCTTTCAGGACATTTATGGTCTTCAGGCTTAGAGATGTTTTTTTTAAAGCACACTAGGGATCCTTGAAATCCTCATCAGAGCAATATACAAGACTATGGTTGCTGAATGTGTGACCATTCATTGAATGGTCAAAACATTTCAGTATGCTAGACAGCTGCACTAATGGCATAACATGGTATTTGTCACTGTCAGAGCACAGTGTGCATGGATATGGCAACTTTACATATCAAGCTCTATATGGGGGTTTCAATGTCATTGCGTCCCAGGTATTTATCAGTCCAATGGTGTCATGGGTGCTTTCCACTTTTGAATGGTCTGTTGTGGAATGGTTTGGGGTCCAGGTGACCATGAGTTCTTAGGGACATTAGTGTTGTTGTGGGTCAAGAGAGGGAGACTCATCCTGCAGAAGAAGGAATATAAGGGATCAGAGTTTAAAGGTATGTGTGTATTAGTAAATTGATGATTCGTCATTGGTGCCTAGAACCCGAGACCAAACCCAGCAGTGTTGGTTAATTATTATACAATTAATCTATTACTAATTTGCCTACCTACATTTTTCAGCATATTTATTAATAGATATCATATTATATGCTGACAAATGGACAAGCCCTGTGCAAAACGTTTTAGGCACTTCAGAAAAAGTGAGGATGCTTTCAAAAATAATTGAATAAATAGTTTTTATTTATCAATCAACAACCAACAAAACACATACACCCTTTGTCTTTAAAGCATCATCAATTTTCTCAAGTACACTTGCACACCATTAAGGATTTTGGCATATGATTCAGTGCATGATTAAACAACCATACCACACAGATGCTAATGGTCAGTAGGATTCAATGTAGGTTAAAATATAGTCAATAAATCAAACAATCAACTGTGTGAGAAGACTGAAATGGATGTGGAAAAGCCATTTTATACTAGCAAGCTGAGGTTGTTGAAGATAGCTGAAAGTTAAAAAAAAAATATTACACAATGGAAAGAGCACAGCAACAGGACACAGGGCAGTCTTATTGCATCAACAAGATCTCAGACAGACAGAATTTTTAAGAAAGACAGGTGTTTCTAGATTTGCTGTCCAACCTCCACTGCAGAAGCACAAAGAAGCAGGCAACGTTAAGGACTGAAAATTCAGTGGTCAGCCAAGTGCAGCATAGTGCAGCAGATAAAAGACACATTATGCTGATTTCTTTTTTCACATCAGAACAGGGGTGCCCACAAGGTCGATCGCGATGTCCTCTCCTCCCGCCCGTCGGGCTTCTCTGGATCCCCGCTGCTGTCCCCATCTGTATGCAGCGGGGATCCGAGAAGAAGTGAAGGAACCGCTAAAGCCGACGACAGAGGACAAAACCGCTGTCAAAGAACTAAGGCCGAGCGGTGAGGAGAGAGAGAGAGAGACGCTCGGCCAGGTTCTGACAGCCGGCGCCTCTCTCTCCCCTCACCGCTCGGCCTTAGTTCTGTGACAGCGGCTCCGTCCTCTGCCCCCCCCCGCCGCCGGTTCCTTCACTTCTTCTCGGATCCCCACTGCCCGAGAGAGCAGGGGGGGATCCAGAGGAGAAGCTGAGCCCCCGTGTGCGTGGCTGAGTGGAAGAGGATCGAAGAGCGGTAGGACAAACACTGGAGCGATCAGTTGATCACTCCAGTGTTTGTAAATAACTGGAGACCCATAGTACTATGGGTCCCCAGTTATTAATGAACAGGATGTGATTTACATCACTTCCTGTTCATTCATGAGTTTCTCAATGGGGAGCTCCTCCCCATTCAGAAACTGGATTATAGTAAATATTTTTTGAATGAATGGGAAGCCTCTGTACTTTCCATTCATTTAGAACAGAGGCTGCAAAAAAAGAGATTGAGGACGTTGTGTT